TATATATATAGAGAGAGAGAGAGAGAGAGAGAGAGAGAGAGAGAGAGAGAGAGAGAAAGGGAGTTGGGCTCCACACCCTGAGGGACAGTAAGGGGAGTCTGTAAGCGAATGGGTGTTCCTAACAAGCTGCCCTCTACCTGACTCTGCGGGGTCCCACACTGTCCCCAGGGCTGTGGAGAGCTCTTTCCTAAAGATCTGCTCACTTACAAGGTTGCTCCTTTCTAGTAGAGAATACTCTTTCATCCTCAGGCCCAGGAAGAGAGTGGATTCAGGAATGTCCTGAAGGCTCATCCTCTCAGAGGGCTCAGAACGGGCTGGGAGGTAGAGGGAGGGTCTGCTCTCTGAGGAGGAGAGGATGACTAAGGTAAAAGGCTTCTTGAAGATGAGGGACTGGAAAGTAAGGAGATTCTGGGTATTTTCATTGCTTAAAGTTGTTATTGCCTTCTTAAATTTGTAACTCTCCTTGAAATCCAAGACACCCTGTTAGTGAAACCGAGGGCACGGAGACAAGGAAGGAGCTTGCCAAGCGCGGAGCTACCTTCCTGAGCCAGCAGAGGGCAGCAGTAGCGGAGAAGGCAGCAGGGAGAAGAACGGACCGGTGGCGGCGGCAAAGTTGAACTGAGAGGGAGAGCAGTCTGGGGAAGGATGCTCCCGACAAGGCTCATTTGTGTGGTCCTTGCTGTCTCCTGGAGGGGCAGCTCGGAGGGGACCTCTGATGAGCTGATGTGGAATGGGTGGTCTCTAAGGACATTTTTCTCCAATTGTTCCTCACCGCGGAGCACAGTTCGCAGTAACTCAGAGGGAGGAGTTAAGCACAAGGAATGAAGAAGATTAAACTCTGGCCCCGAACCTAAGAGAACCACACCTGCTATCGGGGCCTTTGGCTTCCTCGTCTCTGCCGCCACCTTACAGGCTGTGGCACCCAGGCAGGGTGCCAAGGGGCTCTGCTGTCCACTCACACACCGCTCCCAGCCCCCGACAGGACTTCGGTGTGGAGCTGCACGCTGCTGCTTCTCTAGGTGGAGGTGGGGAAGAAGGAGAAGGGCGGAATGAGGTCAAACACTTTGCCGAGCTGCGCCTCTGGTCCTTGGGCATCTTGCTTTGTGGGAAGATACAATTAGAAGGGGCTTGCTGAGCTGCTCATCCCAGGAAAACGTCCTCTGGGCCGTCCAGAGCGGGGTGTCCACCATCTTTCACGTTCTCCATTGCCTTCTCATCATCTGAACCTCTCCAAAGTACTTGAAATGAAATTACTATCAGTAGTAACGCTGACTGCCTCCAGCTCTGATCTTTAGGATGAAGTGAAGCTCATGTGAACAGTCATTGAGCATCTACCTGAGGCCAGGCTCCTCTCTTTCTGTTTCTCTCTCCTGTTCCTCTTTGTAGGGTGTGCGTGTCTGTTGCAGGACATCATCTAGGTGCGAAGATGCAGAGGATTTGGAGCACTCCAGGGACTCCATGGCTCAGGCGGGAGTGGAGTGGGTTTACTGCTGTTTAGCCAGAGAGCTAAAGTGTAGGAAGATGTGACAAGTTTTATCAACGTGCTGCGGAAGCCAAGTTGAGTTCTGGGTGGGGGTGGGAGGGTCAAATAAAATCTGGAGAGTTACTCCCTCCGTGGACGTTGTACAGGGGGTTCATCTCGGCCTGGGACTTTCCTATGCCTCT